GCCTGAGGATGGAACTCCGGGCCCCTGCGCCTGCTTGCAGGTGCTTTAATTCACTGAGCTATTTGCCCAGCCCTCAGTGGTTAAATTTTAAGAGAAAATGGTACTCTAAACTTTTCGATGAAGCACGACTCCATTATTTGCTTTATCTATTTTATGCTTTGTGTCATATCTATCAGGATCTTTTTGTCAATCTAAGGTCATGAAGATTTTTCTCTTATGTTTTCTTCAAAAATTTTAAATATTTTATGTGCTGCACTTGGATCTATGATCTATTTTGAGGTAAATTTAAAAGAGCTATGAGTTGTAGGTTAAAGTTAGTTTTTTTCCAGTTGTTACACCACTTGTAGAAAAGGATCCCTTCTCTCTAGCGATTTTCTTTCATATATAGCCACAGTGGTCACCTCTTTTATTAGTTCTAGGAGGGGTGTGTGTGTGTGTGTGCACGGGTTTTCCTCCTGGACAGTCATGTCAATTTAAGCACATTTTATTTTTCTTTGGCAAACTGCGTGAATTCTATTTCATTTTTCTTGCTTTGTTGCAGTGTCCAGAACCCTAAGGCTGATGAGGACAGGAGCAAGAGGGTGGCCAGCTGGCCCCTCCTTGCTCCGCGCCTCCGCAGGCCTTGCGCTGTTCATCAGAGGCCCTTGCAGATGTGCTTCCTCAGGAGAGGTTCCGTTTTATTCCTAGTTGGTTGAGAAGTTCTGGTCCTATTTTTTCCCTGTCCCTGAGTATCTCTTAGTATCCCTAAGGATCCATGTGAATTTAGGCAAATTTGAATTTAAGCTGTCACGCCAGAGAGCAGAGATGGATGCGCTCTGCAGGTGGCGAGAGACGTGGGCGCGGCCGGGAGCCTGTGAGCGCGGGAGAAGGGCGTCGCGGCTCAAGTGGGGCTTTCACATTAATCTGGCCCTCCGGGCGGCGGGCGCGCAGCTTCCCTCACGCACTGCCTTCTGCGTGCATTCTCTCACTGCTGGGACAGACGCCCAACAGCCACAGCTAGGAGGGAAAGATTCATTCAGCTCGCAGTCACCGGAGGTTCCAGCGCACACTCAGCGGGCTCCAGGGCGGAGTGGCACCGCGCGGAGGGCAGCAGTTCTTGGCGGCGGAAGGCAGCAAACAGCAAGAGCACAAGGGCAGAGCGCGAGCCCCTCCGTGCGCCGCGCCAGGCTGTCCGCCCCACGGCGGGCGCAGCGCTCACACCCGTGGTCCCAGAACCAGATCGTGAACTGTCACAAACCCTAGGAGCCACCTCATAACTGCATGAGGCCTTGGGGGACACCTGGGCCCTAACCACGGCGTGCACTTTCCCAGGAACGCTGGCTTGCAACCACTTCAGTGGATTTAGGTTAAGGGAATATTCTAAATACTGAAAAGCAGATTTTAAAACCCAGAGACTGTAGCAGAACTACCACCCACCACCCCTTAGGCTTAGTAGAGTACATGATATTTATTCCTGTTACATTTCTGCTTTTTTGTTGTTGTTGTTGTTGTTGTTGTAGCTTCAATTCTTGAATTCTGAAACTAGACCAGGGAATACTTTATGTATTTTGCCTTTTTAATCCCATACAATTTCAGTCATCCTATTTCACAGGCCTTATGCCAATTTTGACTAGGATTCTTGGACTTTCAGAAAATAAAAATTAAATTTAATGTCGGAAATTGCTTTAACAAACAGCAAACAAAGAAACAAACAGGCCGCTTATAGTTGGCAAGGGTGTATTTTAAGCCTTCTGGGACTGGAGGAGTTTAGAGAAGGCATCCGTACGCTCTGCAGCAAGCTGGGCCACCCTATGAAGCTTCTGAACTCTGATCTCCAGTGACCACCACACATCCCAGGCATGGCCCTAAAACTGATGTGGAAAATGCAGCCAACCCAGGGTGGCAGTGAGGCATCCCCAAGGCCAGCTCTCTGCTGTCCTGCTCAGCTCCCCAGATCCTGACAGCTTCCTCATCCTCCTACCTGCTTCTCAGCATCAGAGTAGAACCCACAGTTTACCACTTTCACGATCAGTGACTTTAGAGATGTGGCATTACCTTCTTAATCTCAGATAGCTCTTGCATAAAAACATAAATATGAAAGGAGTCTGCATCACAGCTGCCTGCTTGGGAGGGTAAGTTTAGTCAAGGGATGAGAGAGAGAGAGAGAGAGAGACAGACAGACAGACAGACAGACAGACAGACAGACGGAGGAGGAAGCAGAAGCAGAAGCAGAAGAAGAAGAGGAGGAGGAGGGGAGAAAGCATGAATAGAGAAAGAGGAGGAGGGAGGGAGAGGAGGAGGGAGAGGAGGAGGGAGAGAGGAGGAGGGAGGGAGTGGAGGAGGGAG